CATTCCTTACTGGTATCACTACTGACACTATTCTTGTAGCTGAACACCACTTAAGGATGCCAACTAGATTTCATATGTTTGTCTTTTTTACAGAAATGTGAATCACCCTCTAATATATAAAATTGAAAGTACTTTACAAAAACTAAGAATTGGAAATGTTGGATTAATTGGAATTAATTAATTGGAATCAATGACAAAAATATTTTCTAACCTCACAGATCCCAGCATTAGACAACCTACATCAACGGTATAGTGGCCAGTACTAACAAGGAATGTGACTCTGTAGACCTAAGTCTGAACAAAAATAGAAAATACAGAAGGCAATACACTATATATAATTAATATAATGTATCATTATTTTTTATCAGCACCAAAACCTGATGAATTAGGCAACTGTGAACTAAGCAAAATTGCAATTACAAACAAAATCCCATTATTTCAGATAGCTATACCTTTTTCTTTTGTTTTGCTTGTAACACGTTTGATTAATGATCATGAGATACAAAACCATGAGGCACATATGCACTCATGTATCACTGATGCATCAGACTGAGTAGCACTTATTCTATTGCATGTTTGTACAAGGTCAGTAATGTAGAAAGCTGTAAATCAGACTGTGTCTGATGTTTTCTTTTAATCTATCTATTATTGTTTTAGACATAGAGGTAAACCAAAGACGAATAACATAACCAGCCCTGTTTTAAGCCAGTCTTGTCTTCAGGAGTAAAACCTGATGTATACATATATCTGTATCTATATCTATATCTATACCTATATCTGTGTCTGTATCTATATGTATATGTGTATTACTTAGATCTAAGACACAGGAGTGGGGTCTTCCCACCTTTTTCAGGTGGGAAAATAATATTTTCCTACAGCATTAAGAGAGTATTAGAAACAGCATTAGGAATAGCATTAGGACAGGAAGAAAAAGCCAAGGAAGAAAAGTGAGGGAGCTTGGGAGTCAGGGATGTTTCCAAAGCTCAGAAAGAAAAATGTGAAGCTGTGTTTACAGTGGACACTGTGAGTCTATTAGCATCACAGACATGGACAGACCCAACAATGACACAATGAGGTTTATGTGTTATGACTCTGGTGGGACAACAATTGTGTCTCGCGGTTCCTGTGAGGAACTAAGGCATGCCTACAGGAAGCTTCAGCGGGACTGGAGGTAAGTCAAAAGACTGATGAAGATGAGGAACAGGAAGCTACAACAGTGATGTGGAAGAGCTGGAGTTCTGCAACAAATCAGAGAGACTCATCTCTGACAAGGCAAGAAAGTGCCTTGAGCAGTAATCTCCAGGTCTCCATGGCTGAGGTTCTATCTCATTGTCCTGGGTTCAGCAGTAGCAAACATTTTTTCACCTTCTTAGTAGCAGGTGCAGTGCTGTGTTTTTGACTTTCAGCCTGGGAACAGATCTGATAACACCAATGTTTTTAGTTACTACCCAAATGTTTGGTCTGACCAAGGACTTTGTGAGTCTCATGCTCTGCCAAGGAGGAGGGGAAGCCAGGAGGAAGCAGAGACAGGACACCTGACTCAAAGTAGCCAGAGAGTTATTCCATACCACAGCACGTCATGCCCAGGAAGTAAACTGAGACTTACCCGGAAGGGCTAGTGCACTGCTTGGTCAGGCTGGGTATCAGTGGGCAGTATTGTATTCTCTTCCCTTGTTATTTCCTTTATCATTATTATTATTGGTGGTAGCAGTAGTGGTCTGTGTTATACCTTAGTTACCGGACTGTTCTTATCTCAACCCATGGGGTTTGCATTCTTTTGATTGTCCTTCCCATCCCTCCGGCAGCGAGGGAAAGAAAGGGGGGGGGGGGGGGATTAGACTGCATGGTTCTGATTTACGGCCTGGGCTTTGACCATGACACTCATGATAGACAAAATTTCTCCATCATGAGTATGATGCAGAAATGAGATTCTGCAGAGAAGTAAACTCAGAGTTCACTACATCCCCCTTGACTGTAACAGGACTTGCAAGTACCATAGAGTGCTGCATATTGCTGCAAAAAGCCTGACTTATTGTGGTCCTGCTCTAGTTTTACCAACTGAAATGCTAGAAAGAAACTGACTTTTAAAACAGAAACACCAACAAAAATAGTGTGTAGTTGTGTAAGAATGAAATAATATCTTAAAGAAATGACATTTTTTCCACATCCAGTATCTGAAATCAAAACCATGACATAGATGAGGAACTGAAAATGCCTATTTTTCATTTGGAAACCTCAAACAGCTGTCAAAACAGAGACAACAAATGGTAAAAATGTCGCATAAGTGCAGCAAAGAAGCACCAATGACAGGAAAAGAATACCGTCTTACCCAGAGAGAGGACAAAAACAATGAAAAGGCATATACACTTATATTGACATACTTGTTTCCTTTTAGAAGTTTGCCTGTCAAGTCGAGATAGTAATAAGAAACCTATTCCAGGAGTATTTCATAAGAGAAAAAGTGTTCCTTGAGATAAGAATAATCTTTCTGCTCTGTTGGCATGTAACATCCTGTGCAGTGAGGTGAATTTCTTCCCAGGCATGCCAAGCAATCCTGCTTTAAATTATTATCATAAATGTATATATATTTATTACATATACAGCTAATATGTAGCTGGGAAAAATGTATATGAATATATCTAGACAGAACAGAACTGGAACAAATGAATAAAAAAAAAAACACAAAAAACACCAACAAAGCTCCATTCTTAACCAGATGCTATAACATGCCTTCCCAGAATACAGCATCTGACATGGACCATCATTGCCATTTACCTAGAGAACATAGTTTAATAAGCATGGGAATGTCTCATTAAGAGAAATCCTTCAAACATTCTGGTCTTTCAACTGCTGGCATTTCTAAGCAATGATGGAGCAATATTACAAAATCCAGTTTCTAATGCAATATGCTTAACCTTATAAAGTATGCTTAGCAGTTCAAGCTATTTTGCTTTGTAGATAATTTGTCCCTGTTTTAAGATGAAAGAAAGAAACTATATATTTAAATCTTGACTTTTAAGTATGTTTTCTTAAAAGTTTGTTATATTTTGCTTAGGGCATTTTATTTGGTTAGGTGTCTGGATTCAAATAAAGTTGCTGTGAAACTGATAAATGGCATTGTTCATCTAGTGAAGTCTGAAGAATTGTCTGCAATTATAAAAAAAATATGCAATATCTATTCTAAGGAAAAACTTTCAGTAAGGAGTTCTGCCTGGACTGATGTTTCACCATAATCCAAGAGACTACTGCCTTATATTAGATGGCAACCTAGATTACAAACTGCAGTGAAAAAGAACATTAAAAGTCATAAAGTTGAGTTGCTGCTTCACATTACCTTAAGATAGGACTTGCAATCACGACTTAAGTCAGGCTTGTTCCAAAGGGCAGGCAAACCGTGATAGATTTTCTTTTACAAAGATGTCTGAATCCTCCCTCCACTAAATGAAGAAATCAACCTATTGAATTCCATAGTTTTCATCTCCTGATCATTACCTTAGATTATTGTGATAGACATACCAAACTCAGAGAACAACTCAGAAGGATTCCAGGTTCACCTAGGAACTTACAAAAGGAATTGGTTTTCTGTATTCTGCTCTAGTGTTGAAGCTGATCGTTCTGTGGAAGACCGCACACTTTGTCAAGACATACCATAGGACATAATCAAGAAAGACCACACTTCCTAGGATGTCTGTTCTCAGTGCATAATGCTTTAAGGATCCAAGCAAGTAAGCTTTTTGTCCTCCCAGACACAAGTTCTGGAATAAAGTGAAATAACACTGGAGTATATAACCAAGTACATCACTTGGTATAGAACTCTTTGCGCATCACCGATTTCACCTTTAAATAGAAACTGGCAAATTATTTATGCCTTTTAAGATAAAGCAATATTAAATGAAAAATACTTATCTATGCATTTCTGTAAAATTTGCCTGTAAAGCATGCATACCTTGCAACAACCAAGCAAATGGAAGTAAAAATCTGCCTGCTGTGTCACATTTTCCTGAATTCTGGCACAAAACACATGCTCACATACAAGGTAGTCAGAAAGAAAAAAAAAAAAGGCTGTGTAAGTATGAAGGGAAAAGAAACAGAGAGAAAAAAAATGGAATTTAAAAACAGTGAAGAGGTGGAGAATTCTGAGAAAGACAAACAGAGACATCCTGTTTGGCTTCAGATACAAAGAGCTTTCTGACATCCTAACACATGGTTTCCTAGCAAATACAGTGTTAGCATAGCCATGTATATTTCCACAGAAGGCTTTCACTCATGGAAATGGTGAAAAAGAATAAATAAATATTTCCTCAAATGCAATAGACCCATGAAATTTAATTATAGTTAATTTTTAAATCATCCTGAGTGGAATTATTGTTGCAAAATAAGAGACCCAGCAAGGACTACATTAAATTGACACAAAACTGTGTTAAGTATTTTGATTTTATCTGGAAAAGTACTGAAGGACAAGGAAAAAAAGTAAAAATATTTTTTCAGTCCTACTGTCTTACTACAAATAGGCTGAATTCTGGAAGTGAAAACAATTGCTTTAGATTGTTTTACAGTAACAGCTGTGGTTGTTGAAATAGCTACAGACATTATGCAGATCTCCCTGTTAAGGAATGACCAGTGCTCCACTGACTTTGAATCTATGCTGACTTAGACCAGCTACATACTGCACAGTGTTGGTCACATGGGAAGGCAGATGGGAGGAAAAAGAAAGGAAAACAAATTATTTTTATTTGTATTTAATAAAATTTGGCCTGCAGGCTTTATGTGACTCAGTACTGAACATCTGGGATTGATCAGAGGATCACAGACTGGAAAACAGTCATATGGCTTCTAGAAATAAACACATTCAGTTCCTCTTCCACAATTTATTTTTTTAATGACAAACTGCAACTGCCATTTTAAGCCTTTTTAATACTTGCAGCCGCAGTATTTTTAACTTCTTAGTAATTTTTAGTATTACTTTTTCACATCATGGCATCAGACAACTCTTAACACACACACACTTAATTCACTACTATTTTGCTTCAGAATTTTATGAAACAATGGTAGTCTTGCAACTTCAATTTTTATTAGTTCCTTTGCTCACAAGCACCATGGGAGCGGCACAATATATGATGCAAGATGCAGCGCTGATGAACTACATTGACCGGCGTTTCCTGTCTTTAGAGGTATGTGCTAGTTGTATAATTCTGCAATACTGCCTAATTGCAAAGAGGTTTGAAAATATATGAAGTTTCTTCTATGTATATGAACACACAGTTGTATGGTAAACAATACAAGGGAGATAAATTTCCAGCTTTTTCAAATAAGTAAAATTGTAGCTAAACCTTTAACTATAATGATTCCTAATTGCCACATTATTATTTGCCACAGGATATGATTTCATAATGTTATATTCTTATTCTGTTATCACTTGTATTTTTTTTACACCAGTGAATTTATCTAAATATGCAAATATTTATAGTACTGTCACAGTCCATCATAGGGAACAGTGTAACTGTATTGTTACCAGTAGAAGAGCTCAAGTATTAATAAAGACTATAAGGACATTAATAGACAGCAGGTATTTTTCCTTTGTACAGATGAGCCTACCAGGAAAATCTTTAAGACACATTTGTGTAAACTAGCAGCATATTTGCATTTTAATTAGGAGCTGAAATAATTCTCTTAGAGCTGCAAGGCTGAAATAGACATTTGCTTTCCATTAATTATACAAAAGCACCAGTACCACCTTCTTTTTCTGCAGAAGAAAACTACCAGAACTTCAAAATACCTTTTCAGTATTGGCATGCTGTAATCATACATAGTAAATTTTAAATCATTAACATGTCCTTGGCTCCTGACTTGTATTGCAGACTCTTAGAGAAGCTTTAACTTGCCTGATCTTGCATTCCCTTTTTGTAAAAAGCTCTCACTGGTCTTATCACAACACAAAAAACAGAAGGATTAGCCTGGTAGTCTGTTCCCATTGTATAGACTAAGATTTATTTTTTCTTAGCCACTGTAGAAATAACTTCACATGCTAATTTCCATCCATTTAGCACCCATTAAAAATGATACAATTCTACTTGTGGCATTTGGTGCAAGAGGCAAGAAACAAAGAACAAGGGTGAGGCAGATATTGAAGAAAACACCTGAAAATACTTAAAATTGTAGAAAGTACCACATCCTGGAAACTTATGAAACTTATGGTCACAAAATGGGGGGGGGGGGGGGGGGGGGGGGGGAAGGAGGACACGACACAATGAGCACTTTTCAAAACAAACAAACCACCACTTCCAAGTATCCTTGGAACACCTGTACACTGCAAACTCATTTAGCAAACTCAGACGTCCCCTATTCAAACACCACCTTAAATAAAACGCACGAAACCTGTGCTTAAAAGACCAAATCAGAACAACCAAGTTAGCTCTACTGTGATTCTGTGTTTGGGTTTATGTATCGGTTCAATTTTCTCACCTTCTCAAAGTGGCAGTTGGGCTTCTGTTTTCAGGCCACCTATGATCTTCACAGAAGTGGCTGCTTTAGAACTGAGAAACCAGTTTCCTCACCTTTAAAAACATTGATAATTTGAATCTAGGTATAAAGAAAGATCTGTTGCTGGGTTTGTTTTGTTTTTAAATACAGCAAACCTTCTCAACCTTCTCAAACATAGGATTTCAATTTTTCATTTTAAATAAATGAAAACCAGCCACACTAGATACTCTCTTGGTCAGAAGGGGTGTATTTATGTGAAATGTTCACGTTTTAGATTTCCATCAGAAAAACTTTAGTGACTACTTCACCAATGGTCATACAGGAGGAGTTCTGAAAAGTTTCTGGAAAGCAGGCAGTTGAGATCATGTGCACTTAAGTGTCTCTGGCTGTTTCTGCCAGAGCACTTTCCCCACTTTAGGCACCAAAACAAAGTATCTGGTGGTCAGTAACCACATCAAGAAAACAAGTGTAGCTTTTTTTTTGTCCAGAGTTGTGAATGCTAATGCTAGTCTAATATGTCCATTTCATGTAAATAAACAGCAACAGACCATCAGTTTGAAATAGATGGGGGGCAGGGGGACTGGAAAGGAAAGAATAGTGCAGTCTTTAAAGTAATCATGAATGAGGTTGTAATCATATATCAGAAGCACATGTCTATCCATGTATTTTCTTCCTGTGTTCTAACTCAAGAAGAGGCTGGAAAAATGCAACCAAGACATACTGGATTACGTGGAAGAATTTCGAGACTTTTCAAAGATGGTACTGGCACGCCTGGCACGACTGAACAGTTACAAGGCTGAGGTTAAAAGTGAATTAGAGAATTTGCTAACAAGAATTGAACGAGCACAGGGGGACATTGACTACTTTGGATCTGTCACAGTTTCTAATACATGTATAGAAGTACATGAAGACCTGGTGAAACAGCAGCTATTTGAAGAAGCAGAAACAAAAAAGAAACTTAAGCTCATGCTTAATGCAAGTAAGAACAGTCTACTTTTCAGAACTTTGATATGAATGCACCAGTGCATGCATGCTGATACAGGGATAACAGATTTCCACAAGTTGTGTGAATACCACAGATAATTGCAGGGAGCTTTGCTTGTGTAAGTATTAGACAAAAATAATAAAAAAGAAAAAAAAGAAAAACCCACTACAAAAATAGCATGGGAGAGGGAAGGAAGAAAGAACAGTTCAAACACTTATTTTGCAGATACTCTGCTGCGTATCAAAATGGTTTGTTGGAAGCTGCTTTTTATTATAAAGTTATGTAAAAAGCCTCTGAAGGTACACTCTTGCAAAGACACAGAAAATATGCCAGTGCATTTCTGAGTATTGCAGCTATACCAAGAAATTGATGGTGGTCTTTGTTTATTGGCGTGAGCAGGGGTCAAAAGCTCAACTCAAAGGTGAACTAACAACGTAATAAAAGGACTTAATTAATTCCTACAATCTGTGTCTGTTTTACTGTCCTCTGTTATTCTTTCTCTCCCTCTCCCCTCCATGTATTTTGTCATGAGAACACACTGGTTTAGCCGCAAGCAGAGCTCAGTTCCCATCTGAAAATTAAGTCTTAAGGTACTTAGTATGAAAAATAAATACACAACCTATACCTTAAAAAAAAGTTTTATAGGTATCTTTGCCTTAAGAAAGTTGGTTATTGATGTAAATTATGTATTGTAGACATATTTGAAGTACTCTGTTTCATTTTCATTCAAAAGTAGCAAGAGATTAAACAGTAAGAAATATAAACTGCCTTTTTTTTTTTTAAAGCTGGGTGAAAGATCTTTAGCATCAATATTTCCACAATTCTATTAGCTTCAACATAATTAGATTTAATTTTACAAATAAGTTTATAACTTATAATAAAAGATTAATAAGGCAGATGGTAACAGAAACAATCACCTATTCTGGTTCTAAAATCTAGTATTATATCACAGTTGAATGCTCTGAATATCAAGATTTCTTTTTCCATACATAGATTTTTTTGAATATTAGGCATTTTTTTGAGGCAAAAAAATGTAGGATTCTTAAACTGACTGTGGTAAGGACACTTTGAAAAATATATCTTTACAAGTTTTAGAGGGAAAGAAATTACTTTCCATTTCCCTTATTGGAAATTATTAATTTTATTGCAACACTTCATAGCAACTTTACTTTCATCAGTACTAGTCAGATGCTTGACCCAGTGATGCCTATGGTAAAACTAGTCCCTGTGCAGCACTTAGAAAACGTAGCAAGACCTAGCAAATAGCAGCTCTGCTTCTATGTTATCATATGTTAGCCAGAAGTTACAATTATTTTTGCTGGGCTGTTCCAAAACTCTAGCAAAAAAATGTGGTTTAAGTCCAACTTTGTTTTTGGTTCAAGTTCGCACGGACTTGAAAATAACAATCAAGTAGAATTACTGTTTTTACATGCAGTAGTCGACACCTCATCCTGCTTTGGTGGGAAATGGGAAATGATCTGCGCATTTTGTGGTATGATAAGAAACAGTGAGCTTTGAAGATATTATTGTGGAGAATGTGGAAAAAAACTAGTAAACTTTTTTCCCACTGTAAATGCCTCTGTTTCGCAGTCTTCCTCCAAGCTGTTATGAAAGCCAGAGAGTGAAAAATCTCTCAAAAAGAGAGATATTATTCATAGACTTCAGTTGGCAATCATGTTATCTCTCCTGCAGAGGAAGATAGTGCTAAGGCTAGCTAGGTATTTGCATTCAACAGGTTTTTTAAGTTTTTAGAATCTATCTGATCAATAAATATTAGCTTTGGGAAAGATTGCTCAAGGAAGGTGAATCTTAGAGTGAGAACTCTCAAGAAAAAAAATCATGCTGTAGCAGTATATCTAAATGCTTTGGTTAGAGGGTATCAGTACACACAAATGACATAAAGGTTGCTCTCTACAGACAACTGGAATCCTGCCACTGACTTCAAGAGGTTCAGTCCTGAAGAGCCCTATACCCCTGAGACCTTAGATGAAGTCAGGTCAAGGGAGCGGTTTGCCTTAGTTGATGAGGAATGGGTTAGAGACCAGTTGAGCAATCTGGACATCCATAAATCCATGGGTCCAGATGGGATGCACCCGCGGGTGCTGAGGGAACTGGCGGAAGTCATTGCTAGACCACTCTCCATCATCTTTACCAAGTCTTGGGAAACGGGAGAGGTGCCTGAGGACTGGAGGAAAGCAAATGTCACTCCAGTCTTCAAAAGGGGCAAGAAGGAGGACCCGGGTAACTATAGACCGGTCAGCCTCACCTCCATCCCTGGGAAAGTGATGGAACGCTTTATCCTTGGTGCCATCTTAAGGCATATCAAGGATAAGAGGGTTATGAGGGGCAGTCAACATGGCTTCACCAAGGGGAAATCATGTTTGACCAATCTCTTAGCCTTTTATGAGGAAATAACACGGTGGATGGATGATGGCAGAGCAGTGGATGTGGTCTACCTTGACTTCAGCAAAGCATTTGACACAGTCTCCCACAGCATCCTCACGGCTAAATTGAGGAAGTGTGGACTGGATGATCAGGTAGTGAGGTGGACTGCGAACTGGCTGAAGGAGAGAAGCCAGAGAGTTGTAGTCTATGGGGCTGAGTCTAGTTGGAGGCCTGTAACCAGTGGAGTGCCTCAAGGGTCAGTACTGGGACCAGTATTATTTAATATATTCATCAACGATTTAGATGAGGGAATTGAGTGCACTATCAGCAAGTTTGCTGATGACACTAAGCTGGGAGGAGTGGCTGACACGCCAGAAGGCTGTGCTGCCATCCAGCTAGACCTGGACAGGCTGGAGAGTTGGGCAGGGAATAACTTGATGAACTATAACAAGGGGAAGTGTAGAGTCCTGCATCTTGGCAGGAACTACCCCAGGTTCCAGTATAGGTTGGGGAACAACCTGTTAGAGAGCAGCGTAGGGGAGAGGGACCTGGGGGTCCTAGTGGACGACAGGATGACCATGAGCCAATACTGTGCCCTTGTGGCCAAGAAGGCCAATGGCATCCTGGGGTGTATTAGAAGGGGGGTGGTTAGTAGGTCGAGAGAGGTCCTCCTTCCCCTCTACTCTGCCCTGGTGAGACCGCACCTGGAATATTGTGTCCAGTTCTGGGCCCCTCAGTTCAAGAAGGACAGGGAGCTGCTGGAGAGAGTCCAGCCCAGGGCAACGAAGATGATTAAGGGAGTGGAGCATCTCCCTTATGAGCAAAGACTGAGGGAGCTGGGTCTCTATAGTTTGGAGGAGACTGAGGGGTGACATTATTAGTGTCTATAAATATATAAAGGGGGAGTGTCACGAGGATGGAGCCAGGCTCTACTCAGTGGCAAACAATGATAGGACAAGGGGTAATGGGTACAAACTGGAACACAAGAGGTTCCACTTAAACTTGAGAAGAAACTTCTTCTCAGTGAGGGTGACGGAACACTGGAACAGGCTGCCCAGGGAGGTTGTGGAGTCTCCTTCCCTGGAGACATTCAAAACTCGCCTGGACACATTCCTGTGTAACATTATCTAGGTGTTCCTGCTCCGGCAGGGGGATTGGACTAGATGATCTTTTGAGGTCCCTTCCAATCTCTAGCATACTGTGATACTGTGATATCAGGCCAAACAGTGAGGCTGGTTTTGCTTTCCTTATTTCATCTACTGCCAGAACTTTCTGCCTTAGGGCTATGTTCTGTTTACTAAAATGGATGCACTTCACTAAAGGCAATTCTTTAAACTTCAAATACTGTCTCTTGTAATTTATGAGTGCCTTTGGTAAAAGAGTTTGTTAATATGCTTTGCAGTAGAATTTTTCCTGAAAAGGATGATACTGGATAAAGATCTTGGCATCTGGATGCCCAAGTTTTTGACAAATGTGGTGGTTTTTTGGTCTCGAACATCTGTTGAAAGTGCATACAAAATGTAATGAAGTGCATACAAAGTGCATACAAAACTATGACTTGCTCTCTGATGGTGCCAATTTTGTGCCTATAGCAAGCTAAACAATTACATAAATCTACAGGACATGCTTGTAGCGTAAGAATTGATAACACAGTTTAAAGCTCACCTTAATGTATAGGCATTCAGAATTAATTGTGATATATATATTTGTCCTAGTTTTTTTGTTTTGCAGGTGTTGAGAAGGGGAATGGTAAGATTACCGAATGTTTTGACTTTCTAGTATAATGATCTCTTTTTATTTGACTTATTATTAAAAAAAATAATAAAAGAGGCTAACAGACAATAAGAGAACTCCTGAAACAAAAAAAAACCCTACACACCTGGCATACCAGGAAAATGGATTTTAATTAGTATGCCTTCAATAAGAAATAAGTTTGATTATTTTATTGCGTTGATTTAAAGCAGAAGTAACTTCTCTGAAGTAAAAATTAAAGCCCTGTAAGATCTGACAGGAATAATCATAGAATCACTGACTATGCTCTTGCTCACTTTTCAGGTACACAAATAGAATCTTTTTTGGATAACACTGGTCTAATAGAGTAGAAAAGAACACACTATTGCAATGAAGATATGCAGTTTCCTTAGGAGGAGATGCTGAATATATTATGTAAAATTAGCTTCAACACTACTTTTCATAGCCATGCTGCTGACAGCTTTACTGTTATATTAACATACATCTTATAGCAGGATTAAAAGGAAACTAAGTAATTCAAAGGAAGGATATTCTAATTATTTGTTTTCTTGTATTTGGGTGTTTCTTTGCAGGTTGCGACCACATGCTTTCAGGTATTAAGTCCCTAAAGATACTTAAGAAGACTGGAGATAAGCATGGCTCTTGGATGAAAGATCCTGGCAAAAAGCATGCAAAGATCTATTTATTCAATGGTTCTGTAAATAATGTTATTTTGGAATTTGCAAATATCATGACATTCGTGGAAAGCAATCATATGCTAAAAGCTCACAAAGTCACCTTGCCATTTCCCTGGCAAGGAACTGGCCACATCATATATCAGGGTTTCCTGTTCTATCACAAATACAGCTCCTTAAATGAAATAATTAAATTCAATATCCAGAAAAGAAACATAACTGACCAAATGCTATTGCCAGGGGCTGGAAGAATTCCTGCTTATCAGCTTTCTCCACCTACAAAAATAGATCTTGCCATTGATGAGCAAGGGCTCTGGGCAATACATGCAGAACCAGAGACTGAAGGAAACATTGTAATCACTAAAATCAACCACATAACCATGACAGTAGAGCACACCTGGGACACATCATGCAATAGCAAGGATGCTGAAGCAGCTTTCATGATATGCAACACACTCTATGTTGTCTACAACTTTCCAAGTGGAGGCACCTCTCGCATACAATGTGTTTATGATGTTTTGGATGCTGTAAATACTTATGAAATCCCAGTATTGCATTTTCCAAAGCGTCAGGGTAGCCATTCCACTATACATTACAATCCTAAAGAAAAACAACTCTTTGCTTGGGGTGATGGATCCCAGATCATTTATAAGCTGCACACAAAGCAAAAAGTTTAGAATCTTTAGCAACTTTACAAGTACACTTAAAAGCTGTCAGCCCCATATCAAGGTGATCATTAAAGCATATTAAAATTACAGTATTGCCATTTGTTACAACTTTCATCTATTTTGCATTCATTTAGGCTTTCATACCCAGTGATCTTAAACTTATGTCCAATTAATAATATGTAAGGACTCCATTAATATATATTACATGATGATCCAACACCACATAGGTACACACACTGCCAAATCAGTCTTAAAGACTAAAGCTAATTAGGAAAAAAACAAAAAACAAACAAAAAAAAAACAACACAGCCCCAAACCAAACAAACCAAGACACAAAAAACCAATCCGTCTCTGCCACATTCTTTTCCTGTCAGAACTATATATTCCACTTCAGCACTACGGAAATCAAACCAGAAGTCCTTCCTGTCCAATACAAATTACTTGACAACTTTCACTACCCTGAAGCTCACTGTAGGAAGCCTTGTAAGCACTATAAAATCACATGCTTCCAGGGGATTTATCTATAAAGATAATTTAAAAGGAGAGGTTTATTTTATTACAAAGCATAGAGGTATACATCCTCAGAAATAAGGTTTATTTCTAACATATGGTTCTTGCCCATTATATCAAGGCTATTCATTATCATTGAACACCTAGAATATTTCCATGACATTTCCACACTTTAGTTATCCATATAGCTGTACAGTCCAATTTTGATCCTGCTAATACAGTAGCTGCAGTTAAATATTCACTTCTGACAGCTTCAATTTGCCACCTTTCTTTTTTTTCCAGCGTATCACTGCCTGTGTGTCAGAAGGAATGTTCCTAGATATCTTTTGCATCAGACACTATTTTTAAATGTTTTACATATCACTCATTCAGCATCTAGTTGTGAGGCATTTTCTCAATACTTCAAAGCATTTCCACTACCCATAGCAGAATTCTCCTCATATGACTCCAGCAAAATACCTATACAGAAAAGGTGACCCTGATGAGCAAAGTAGTGCATGTGAAGGCATGTTGCTGGTCATTCCTGGATTTTTAAGTAACAGATGAACTCTGGGCACATACAAACACATTTTTGTTTCAAAAATAAAATTAAAACCAAACAAAGAAGCAAAACACCAAAACAAACAAATAAAAACCCCACAAACAAACCCTAGGCCTTTACTTGTGAAATGCAGGTTTTTGTATTCTAGTGACAGCTGCACCCTTGTTTAGTAACAACAAGAACAAAAAAATGGTGCTTGAAAGGCAATCCACAGCGAGCCCATTTTGTTCTTTAAACTGAAAGAGCTGTTGCTCTGTTCAAAAGTAACTTCAACAGAACAGCCAAACATCAGGGAATGATTCTGAAAAGTAGTTCCAGCTAAGAGTGCATGGACTTCTGAGTTGCAACAGTGCTACTCTGCTTTTGGCAAATAAACTAATCATTCTAAGCAGCCTTAATGACTATAGCATTATTTCTGTGTTACAGAAGCCATAGGAAGCGCAGTTAAAGAAAAGATATCCTCAGGCTGAAAGTAAGGTGTGTTGGAACTGTGCCACTATGGGCCAACGGCAGATTCAACTATCTGGCCTCCTGTTCCTCACCTGTAAAATTACATACACAGAAATACGAAATGATATTAGCCAGCTTTGGAATGCTTCGAGATCTTTTACTGCAAAAGGATGTGCAATTTTTTTAATTAACGAATAAAGGCTTTTGATGCAAATACGGATTGAGCCTCCTCTTTAGAAAAGGCATTCTTGGAAAATACCATGCGCCACACAATTAAACAACAAAGAAAGACAACTGTCCTGGGTTCAGCAGTAGCAGTCATGTTTCTCCTTTGTGGTAGCTGGTGCAGTGCTGTGTTTTGACTTCCAGGCTGGGAACAATGTTGGTGAAACTGACGTTTTCGGTTGTTGCTAAGTGATGTTTACCCTGACCAAGGACTTTGTGAGGCTCATGCTCTGCCACAGAGGAGGGGAAGCCGGGAGGAAGCAGAGACGGGGCGCCTGACCCAGGCTAGCCAAGGAGGTATTCCATACCACAGCACGTCATGCCCGGGGTGGGGGGTGACTGGGAGTTACCCGGAAGGACACGGGCTTCCGGGTGGGACTCGTTTTTCTTGGCCGGTGGTATCGCATTCTCTTCCCTTGTTATTTTCTCTTATTATTGTTGTCATTGGTGGTGGCAGTGGTGATTTGTGTTGTACATTGGTTGATGGACTGTTCTTGTCTCAGCCCGTGGGAGTTGCACTCTTTCGATCCTCCTCCCCATCCCTCCGGGAGCAGGGAAGGGGAGAGCCCCGGTGGGGGGGGGGATGGACCTCGATTGTTGTCAGCTCGGCACCACTCACTGGGAGTGAGTGAACAAGTTACCTGACTGGGTTTAAACCACGACAGTTCTTTTTGGCGCCCAGCATGGGGCACGAGGGCTTGAGATAAGAACAGATCTGACTGGATTAATAGTCACTCATCACAATGCTGATTTACTGGCTCTCAAGGTTGTTCCTCTTGATCCCACAGTTTCAGTATATCCTATCTTACTTCCATCTGGTATTTGCTGTGTTAGTGTTTTTCAAGTGTGGGGCTTGCGCTAAGGTTTTTGTCCCATTGTACTTTATGGTAATGACTTGTAATACAATAGAATCATTGATCATGAAACTGATCTGGCTTATGTTCCCAGTGTGCTCACCACCTTTATACTTTGGGAGGTATATAATAGAAGTGCTTAGCAATTACACATCTTTTTTCTCCTTCTCAGGTGCTCAACCTGTGAAGGAGAGATCCTTTTACCCTCCCAGTTGTCCCCCCAGACCATTTACATTTTAGAGTTTTAAAGTTTTTGAATGGCCTTTTAGTGCTGTTGAGACTTGTTTGCTGATCATGGTGGGGATCACCATGCTGGCACGCATACAGAGTGGGTTTTGCCCACGACTGATTTCAAGAGTTAAGTAGAGTCAGGTTTGGGTCTTGTCTGGGGTCAAACGACGATGTAGGAGGACCAAGAGATTTTCCCTGAGGCTGGACAGCAATGAGTGGCAGGGTGTGTGGGATAGTATGGGCAAGTATCTAGGTCAGTGGGCCCCTCCAGTACTTTGGAATTTCACTACCGAACAACTGCAAAATCCAGAAGAATTAGTAAAACACTTAAATGAGGTGTGTGGTCATTCTGGCCATACCAGAGATGGACAAATCACGGCAACGTGCTGGGGCTTGGCCTATGCTTACAGGGCCTTGTTCAACACTATCCAGCACCTTCAAAAGGAAAAGAATGTCGGCAGATCTGAGGGCAAATCAACAGTCGCTACTCAAACTTTGGCTGCAATGAACAGCACAGCTACCCCAGCGGCAAGTACAGCAGCTGCTCAAACTTTGACTGCGACAGCGCGGTTACCCCAGCTCCAAGCACAGCAGCTGCACCACCCCCAGCAACAAGTACAGTTGCTACTCAAACCACAGTGATAATCCAAACCAGAGGACCAATTCGTACCAATATCGGTTGCCCCTTTACACAAGAGAACAAGCAAAAAGGAGGCAAGAAGGGTGAAGCGAGATGAAGAACCAATGAATTGACCACCCGGTCCAGAATCTGATCAGGAGTCATCATCACATGACGAAGAAGAGGTAACTTCTTGACCTCGGACCTCAACTGAGCTACGGAATATGCGAAAAGATTTTACCCGTCAACCAGGGGAGCACATCATCACCTGGTTACTCTGATGCTGGGACAATGGGGCCGATGATCACGAACTAGAAGGTACAGAAGCCAAGCAGCTGGGATCACTTGCTAGAGAAGGGGGAATTGACAAAGCAATTGCAAGAGAGAAAAAGTCCCTCAGCCTTTGGAGGCGGCTCTTGGCAGCTGTGAAAGAAAGGTTTCCGTACAAGGACGATGTTACGAGTCGTTCAGCCAAGTGGACTACTATAGACAAAGGCATCCAGTCTCTGAGGGAATCAGCCATCGTAGAGATGATACATCACATCAAGCCGAATAACAGGGATATACCCATAGATCCAGATGAAGTTGAATGTACACGACCCATGTGGCGAAAACTTACAGGGAATGCACCATCATCATATGCCCATTCATTGGCAGCAGTAACCTGGAATGACATAGTACCACTAACAGTGGATGAAATGGTTCATAAACTCCGAGAGTTCGAAGACAATCTCACCCCTTCCATCATCTCAGCTGTGGAAAAACTGCCCCAGGACCTCAAACAATTGAGGGACGATCTATCTGATTTATCCAGCTCCTCACGTGTACCAACACACGTCTCTGCTATTAACAAAAGGCGTCCTATTGTTCGAGAGAGGAGATACAGGAGGTATACGCCACGGGGTACCCTATGGTTTTACCTGCTGGATCACGGAGAAGACATGACAAAGTGGGATGGAAAACCTACTTCAGCTTTGGAGGAATGGGTGAGTGAATTGAAGAGGGGAGCAAGGGCCAAGACTGATCATCCCATGAGAGCTACGGCTTCAGTCTCTGGAGAGCAGTTTCCCAGATGGAATGGAAGAGCTGATTTTACTCCAGCTCCTGTGATAACGAAGAATAATCCCTTTTACCATGACTTAAATGTCCAATGCTGTGATGACCATTAGAGGGGTCCTGCCTCCAGCCAGGTGGAGGTAGGGGAAAATCGGATTTACTGGACTGTGTGGATCAGATGGCCTGGCACATCAGTCCCACAGGAGTGTAAGGCTCTAGTAGATACCGGTGCACAGTGTACCCCGATGCCATCAAGCTATCAAGGGGTGGAACCCATCTATATTTCTGGAGTAACAGGAGGATCCCAAGAGTTGACTGTGCTGGAGGCTGAAATCAGCCTGACTGGGAGGGAGTGGCAAAAGCACCCTATTGTGACTGGTCCAGAGGCTCCATGCATCCTCGGCATAGACTACCTCAAGAGAAGGTACTTCAAAGACCCAAAAGGATGCCAGTGGGCTTTTGGTATTGCTGCTTTGGAGATTGAGGAACAACTGTCCTGGGTAGCGGTGTAGTGGTGTAGCGGTGTCCTGTAGTAGCGGTGGTGATTTGTGTTGTACATTGGTTGCTGGACTGTTCTTGTCTCAACCCGTAGGAGTTGCACTCTTTCGATCCTCCTCCCCGTTCCTCCAGGAGCGGGAAGGGGAGAGCCCCAGGGGGGGCACTTGATTGTTGTCAGCCCAGCACCACTCACTGGGAGTGAGTGAACAAGTTGCCTGACTGGGTTTAAACCACGACAACAACGTTATCATATTGTACAGAGAGGTCAATAAGCAGTCCTCAAAATTTCAGGCAGGGCTCTTGCTGAAACTTGCTGCTCTAGAA